ACTGCGCCCTGGTCATGGTAGCAGCTGGCTGCTCCTCGTCCACAGCTCAGGAACCTTCTGCTCCACGTTTCTGCACTGCATGAGTTTGCCCGTCCACACTCATGTCCACTCACACTCTCTCATGCACTCGCCCTCCCTCCGGTCCTGCCCGCTGCTGTCTTCACCTAGAGTGTTATATTTTTTACAAAACTTGTTTTTGTCTTATATCTATGTCTACGAGGTTGCTATAACTATGTTGGGTCACATGTAATATTTTAGTGTTTTAGTTTGTTATTTTAGTTGAAAGCCACTGATCTAGGTGCTGGTAGTGCCCATATTTATGCATTCAGCCATGAGCTGAAACCCAAAGTCATATTTATCTGTCCTCCTGACGTCTCCCCTCATATGTCGAGTAGGCATCTCACATCTGTAAACTTTTTTCCCTCCAGTTATTCCCCCGTCTCAGCAGATGCCACCATCTTTCTTCTGTGGTTCTTCAGCGAGGGTCCTTAATTCCCTTCTTTCCTGTCCCTGCTCCCCACTGCACTCTGCCCACGCGTCCTGCCCACCAACAAGGTCTTTTGGCTCTGCTTCTGAAATGGATCCCAAATCTGTCCACTGATTTCCATTTCAGTTTCCATCAACTTGAACCCGAGCCACTGGCATCCCTTGCCTGACAACAGCAACAGCCCCAAGCTGATCTCTGTCCCCTTGTCTTTGTAAAATCCACCCTCCACACAACAGCCAAAGGGATCTTTTAAAAACCCAAACCAGGCGACATTCTTCTCCTTCAAAGCTGCTGGCGGCTTTCCATCGCTCCAAGGATGACCTCTCGTCATCTAATGGTGGCCAGCAAGTCCCTGGCGACCTGGCCCGAGCTGCTCCGCCGCGGCTCCCACTGAGCACCTCCACGCTGGCCCCCACCGCGCTCACCTTGGCTTTCCCTACCCCGCTTTGGAAGGAAACATGTTACTCATATAGGATGTTCTTGAGTAATAGAAACCAAGAGCTATCAATCAGTGTCTATTAGAGATTCTGAAATTTTCTTTGTGGATCATCTGTAATCAACACAATCTTTCTGTTGCAAGTGGTGGTGTCAAGTTTCTATCTGGAAAATAAATATTGATCTTGCTATTTTTTAACTTACTCAGCAGAGCATCTCATTATGCAAACTTAACAGTTTAAAATATACACAGTAGACTATATGGTTATAGACAAAGGTTATGTTAATATAAAATTTAAAATGAGACTTTTATTAATATTAATATGTCATAAGTACAAGATGAGTTGTTTACTTTAACTTTCTAATAACTGAGATTTATATACATCATAGTCAGTGTTTTGAAAAAATTTGATTTTGATTTAAATTACCAAATTACTCTTGCCCTGAAGAAAGGTCTGTAGTATAGGTTACATTATTCCTTATATAATTTTAGACTTTAGTTTTATAATGATCTATATGAAAAACATTATTAAAATAGTGAAGAAAAGTTACCAGACTTATTAACAAGATAAATGATAGGGTCTGTAATTTTGACTTTTACTTAAGAGAGAGACAGAGAGCGGGAGGGAGGAAATGTACACTCGGATGCTGGAACTTTTTGCAGCAGTCAGTTGAATAACAGATTCCCAAACCCAGGACATTGAAATTGCATGTGCAGCATACTATGTATTGCTGAAATCACATGGTAAAAGGGGCACCAGAAAATGCATGTAACCTTTCAGAATGGAAACTGACTCTAAGTGGGAAAATTTGGCGTTATCTTATCCTAGGAAATTCTTTCAATTATTCACATGGCTTTCATTCTGTTCGAGTTCAGAAATAAAACTTGGTGGTGATTAAAATGTCTCTGTCCTTTGACCCGCTTCTGGATTGCTGTCCGAAGAGAATAATCCAATTGCAGGCAAAGACCAATGCACAAATATGTTAACTGTGGCATTGTTTATAATTTTGAAAAGCCAGGAACCAACCCAACATCCACTGATGAAGGGATTAAGCAGATTGTAGAAAAGCCATACAATAAAGGACTGTATAACCATTAAAATTAATTTCTAGAAAGACAATTTAATGTTGTGGGGAAAAGCTTTGACATAATGCTAAGGTGGGGGGGGTGTAATTGTACAGTATAATCTTAATTAGGTAGAAAATACTTTCCACGGAAGAAAATGTGTTAATAAAGTGATTCATCCTGAGGAGTAATTGTTGCTGGTTTGTATTTTTCACATTTTTCTAGGACAAGCTCATAAGACTTTTAAAATAGCAACAAGATTATTGAAAAAGGAAATGAGAGTGTCTAGTAGAGTATGAAATATTCAGGCTGTTGTGTTTTAGTGCTTTAGTGCCGGAGAGTAGGTGCAGGCATCGTTAGGCGGGGCTCTGGGGCAGGCATTGTAATTGGCTCAGGAGATTGCCTGGAGCTGTTTGCAAGAGGCTCCCAGGGAGGAAGGATTCTTAGCGATTTTGCTCAGTTCGATTTTGCTCAGTTCTACCGTTCACTGGCTGTCACTTGTTGATCAGAAAGTCTGACCGGCTGTCAGCTTTGTCTCTGACAAAACAGATAGGAAGACAAAGTAATTGTGATCTAATAAATGTGACCTATTTGGTAGCCAAATATTTTGTGTGTGTGAGCACCAGCTGTGAGTTTTATTTCATAGCAAGTAATGCAGCCTATGTGCACACTGGTTTCTCTTCCAAGTTCTTTAACTGCTGAAATTGCCCTTAGAGAGACTACAAACATTGTAAAATGTGTTTCATTACTAATTTATTACATTTTCCTGTCAATTGTTACCAAATATTTTTAAACATGAGGCAACAATGAAAAATTCCTGATGGTATAAACGTTCAAGATTGTTCTTCAGTCTTTGGGTTCTCATCCAAGAATCATGGAATCACTTTAGTGGGTCTCTCCCAACATTACCTTGTAAGTGAAATTAGAACACGTAGAAAATATAGAGTACGTTGTATATAGTAAGTATTCGTTCTTTAAATTTTCATTTCAGGTGTGTGTTTATATGTACTAGATTATAAATGTAAAATCCGTGTGTGTGTTTAAAACTATGATTTGCAGTCAAAAAAGTCAAAAGACTCTTGTGATCTAGACCACTGGTTCTCAGTAAGCTCCCAGGACCAGCAGCATAGGTATCACCTGGGAGCTGGTTACAAATGCAGATTCTCAGGCCCCACCCCAGATCTACTGAGTCAGACACTCTGGCGGTGGGCCCAGCACTCTGTGGTTTAGTGAGGCCCCCTGGTGATTCTGGAGCACACTCAAATTCAAGAGCCACTGGTCCAGCCTTGCCTTTCCAGGTGTGTTCCGGAGAGAATGCTGGCAACACCTGGCAGCTGGCTGGAAATGCAGAACCTCAAGCCCCAGCCTGAACCTACCAAGTCAGAATCTGCAGGCTTCCCAGTGATTTGTTTTTTTAATTATTTTTATTACAGATGTTTCTCCTTTTTCCCCCATTGACACCCTCCTCCCAATCCCCCCCACCCGCCCCTTCCCAGCTTTGTTGTCTATGTCCATTGGTTACACATACATGCATATCTGTAGTTTATCTCTTCCCTTCTCCCCCACCCCCTCTTCTGAGGTTTGTCAGTCTGTACCCTACTTCTATGTCTCTGGGTCTATTTTGCTCATCAGTTTGTTTTGTTCATTATATTCCATTAAATAAGGGAGATCATGTGATATTTGTCTTTCTCTGCTTGGCTTGTTTTGCTTAGGATAATATTCTCTAGGTCCCTCCATGTTGTCTCAAATGATAAGAGATCTTTCTTTCTTATAGCTGCATAGTACTCCATTGTGTATATGTACCACAGCTTTTTTATCCACTCATGTATTGATGGACACTTGGGCTGTTTCCAGATCTTGGCTATTGTAAATAGTGCTGCTATGAACATGGGGGTACTTATATTCTTTCTGATTGGTGTTTCAGGCTTTTTAGGGTATATTCCTAGAAGTGGGATCACTGGGCCAAATGGCAGTTCAATTTTTAACTTTTTGAGGTAACACCATAGTGTTTTCAATAGTGGCTGCACTAGTCTGCATTCCCACCAGCAGTGCACTAGAGTCCCCTTTTCTCCACACCCTCGCCAGCACTTGTTTCCCCAGTGATTTGTATGCTTGTATTAAAGGTTTATTAAAGGTGTGGAAGGTTTGTTCTGGCCGGTTTTGCTCAGCGGTTAGAGCGTCAGCCCATGGACCAATGAGTCACAGGTTCAATTCTGGTCAAGGACACGTACCTCAGTTGCAGTTCATCCCAGCCCTGGTCGGGTCTTGCAGGAGGCAACCAGTCACTGTGGCTCTATCACATCGATGTTTCTCTCTGTCTCTCTCTCTCTCCTTTCCTCCCACACTGTCTAATGATAAATAGAAAAATATCCTCCGGTGAGGAACTGAAAAATAAAAGGTGTGGAAGGTTTGATCTAAACCACATATATCTTCAGGGGCCAAGTAGACAATATCAATGAAGGTAGCCTGGTGTTCTTTCCAGAATACAGACCATCCCTGACTGATTATGATTTTTTTCAAATTATGATTTTTTTACTTTACGATGGTAGGAAAGTGATGCTTATTTAGTAGAAACTGTACTTTGAATTTTGATATTCTCCTGATTAGGAATAAGCATTGTGATACTCTCTCATGATGCTGGACAGTAGCACCAAGATGACTTGGCCCATCGGTAGCTAATGTCAGTGCGCACATGTGAGGTAGGCCAGGCTAAGCTATGGTCTTCTGTGGGTTAGGTGTATTCATCGCATTTTTGACTTACTGTATGTTCAACATAAACCCATTGTACATCAAGGAGCACCTGTACAGCAATTAGAGTGCACTGTGGTGTGAAATTTAAGCACTCTTCATTTGTTTAAAAATTTCCTGTCTTGTACCACTTGGGGTCAATACATCCAAACTAACTCATCGACCAAGGTCGGCTTCAATTGACATCCGTTACTTCAAGCAAATATTAAGCCCAAATTTTAATAGAGTGACCCCCTCATATTAACTTCTTCTGATCTCTTTCAGGAATTTATCAAGGAGCTGCTCTCTCGGATAAGAGGCATGAGGAAACTGAGCCCCCCACAGAAGAAGTCTGTGTAATTCTGCCTGGAGACCAAGGAAGGGCCCTGGGACTTGGGATTCACAAGGACTTTTATCAAAGAATAGTTGTCCCTATGAGAAACTTTTTTTTGGGGGGGGGGGCGGGCGGGCAGAATCTAGTACACATTTACTCAAGAGCTTTCCTTTTCTGTTTTTAAAGGTTTTGTTAATGTACTATTTTAATAGCAAAGATATTACCACTCTGGTTTCAGCCCAGTGACTATCAAAACAGGCAGACATCCAAGGATGGGCTGGGCCAGGCAGTATTTTCTTCGAGAAACTCGATGTTTATGACCTAATTATACAGGGATGATGGTGGTTGTTATTTTTTAAGCTAGTTTGGTAATGCTTTTTTCTTAAGTTGTACGTTTGACTCAGATGTGGAATTTCTCGTGCTTGTATATATCTACACACGGCGGAGTTACAGTGTAGCTGTGAGTTTTATTTCACATGGAGGAAATGAACTTGTGGTGGCCCTCACGGGGGGGTCACAGCAGTGTTTGCAGGAGGCCACTTAGAAACGCCTCGTGAGTGCTGCTGACTTCCAGCTTCCACTTTACACACCAAAGTGAAAGAATTTAGTGTATCGTTATTTAAATGAGCTACACTACAGAAATGTTGAGTTGGTCAAGGGCTTAATTTATGGACTTTATATTATTTCATTAATTGGGATGCTTTGCCAGGTCATGTACGTATTGCCTCGTTTGTGGTATTTTAAAGTTTTACAAACCCTTCGTGGGAAGAACTGCCGGGTCTCTGGAGAAGGGCCTATGCTGTCTGAGCAGTGTTTTGCAGCGGAAAACGGAAGCACTGTGTAGCAATTAATTCTCTGCTTCCACCCAACTCCGGTGGTTCTTCTCTCTCCATGAAAGCAGGTCATAATGAAGTCAGCAGATTATGTCTCCTCCTCCTTAGAGGTGGGCCCTGGTCTCTTCTGTGCCTGAGTGCTGAGCAGGGGCGAGGTGGGAGGGCCTCACCTTCTCTCAGGAAGGTCGGTGAAGGAGCGCTGGGCGGCGTGGAGCGTGGAGATGGCATCTCTGGTTCCTTTCAGCGGCGTATGGTGAGGACTCTGGCTCCTGGCCCCAAGTCTGCACCCTGAGCCCCTTGCTTGGAGCTGGGCCTGGGGCACCTGCCCTGCCTCTCTGTTACACACCAGCTCCTTGGAGGAGGCTCAAAAGTCAGATGGACATGGGTGGGGTTAAAGGTCAGAGTAGAAACCCCTCCTTCCAGGAGGCCCCGCTGCCCCCCCCCCCCCAGAGGCCCCACCTACAGTGAGATGTCTCTGGGAGGCCCTGTCAGGGCACAGGGGTCCGGCATTTTATATCAAGGGTGCTCTGAACATATTTTATTTTTTAAAAGAACTATGTTTGTGAATTTTATGTATACTGGCAAGCTTTGGAAAATGTATTTAATTTTGTAATGTTTACCAATGATTTCTTTACAAGCTATTTACTCAAATAAATGGAGCTGCTTACAACTCTGCTCACACGTTGGCCTCACAAAACACGTTCGCACGCTGATGTTGCTTTGTCAGGTGCTCTGGAGGAGGGCTCAGAGCCTCCGTGTCTGGGTCCCTCCCAGCCATTGGATCCCGGCTCTCTCCTGATGCAAGTGGAGGAGCTGGAGCACATTCCACCTTGAGAAGGAAGCAGATGATGAGCTCTGTCACCTAACGCCACGTTTCTCTGAACCTAGCCCTGCTGTGAAGTGACGCAGGACAGTATACACTTGATCATGTTTATATTTTTAATTCAGTGTCACAATCGCTGGGAGATCATTTTTCATGGGTCGCTCATGTTTATGCATGCTTGTGAGTGGAGACTACCGTATTGGAAAACTGCTTTCCAGTATGTTTGTATGTATAGCGAGCAGCCTTGGAAGATAGAGTGTCTCCCTCTAAAGCAGCGATTTTCAACTGGTGTGTTGTGGCACACTGGTGTGACACAAGAATTTTTAAAACATGCGTGGGCCATGGCACCAGTTATAAATCACTGCTAAAGCGAAAAGCAGGTGAGCGTGCCACCCGTTACAAAGATGAGGGTTCCCCAAGTCCAGAGTTCTTCCTCCTGTAATGTAACCCACAGCATGTGCAGCTGTCACCTAGCCTTTGCAACCCCCTCTGGGGACTGGGACTTGAGAAATCAATGCCAGAATATGCTACTATTTTTTTCTGTGGGTAATAAATTATACTTTTTTTCTGACCCAGGATTGTTCGGTCTTCCACAGACAGCTTGCGTGACACTGTTGCAGGCAACCTGGTCAGCTTGTAGTAGGGTCAGATCTCAAAGTCTGCACATGTATTGACAATGGCCAATCTTCTTGGTCTCTTTCAGTATTACTTTTATCATTGTTGTAGCTAGGAAATCTGTTCTATATTTAGAACCTAACTTGACTAAGCATTTTCAGCTATTAGGGTCAGAAGTTTCCCTTAAAGGGACCCACACCTGGAAATGGTTGTTCTATGGACAGAAATTACTTTCCCAAAAGCCACTTTCTGTCTTCCTCCTTGTTAGCAACAAAAAGGGAGTGCAGCCTGGTGGGGATCAGGGAAAATGGGTGATGGGAGAGAGACAAAGCTAATTTACAGAAAAATGACACCCTACAGTGAGGTGGAGAAGACAAGCAAATGGCAGTTCTTGCTACGTATCTTTCTCTTTAAAATATGTACCTAAATAATATGAGTAGCACATTATCACTTGCCATTTTGAAGTTTCTAAATTAAACTCTGAAAGCAGATTTGAAACTGATTTGTTTGTGGCATCACAGTCTATCCAGTGGTAGCTGAAACCAAAAATAGAAAATGAGCTCATGGAATATCTGGTGTTACCAGATTGCTTCTTATCAGGTTGAAAAGTGATCTCTAGCCTTGGCTGGTTTGGCTCAGCAGTTAGAGCGTCGGCCTGCGGCCCAGAGAGACCTGGGTTCAGGTCTTGCTAAGGGCACATGCCTCAGTTGCAGTTTGTCCCCGGCCCTGGTTGGGTCGTGCGGGTGGCAGCCACGCGATGTGTCCCTTTCACGTCGATGTTTCTCTTTCTCTCTTCCTCTCTCTCTCCCTCCCACTCTATCTGAACAAAAAATGGAAAATTTTCGAGTGAAGATAAAAAAAAAAGTGATCTCTATAAAGTGTGTCCCTCACACACCCTTCTGGGTCACAAGTTGCTTGTGAGTGATTTACCACCTGGTTTTTCTATCGTTAGTGACAAGTGCTGATTAGATTTATAAAAGGGGGACTCAAACCCTCTTTCTGATGACTCATAGAAAGGGGATAAATAAGATCATTTATCTTTTAAAAAATATTTTATAGCACTTAGCACAGCACCTGACTTTTTGGCTATAATTCAAGCATAGGGGACCAACGTTACAGTCTATCCCATAGGCTGCTATTGTTTCACAGACGACCCCCCAAATCTTAGGGAAGTGCATCTTTCTGAAACTCGTGATGACTTAGTAAAACCTCTCAAACTGTTAGAAAAAAATGGCATAGTCTTTTTTTTTTTTTTTTTTTTTAATGTTATTTCTGTTACAAGCATTTGCGCTCCTTTTTGAGCTGAGAACTCCATGTCTATATATTTCAGCTAGGAGTTTTTTTATTTTTAATCCTCACCCGAGGATATTTTTCCATTTATCTTTAGATAGAGTGGGAGAGGGAGAAACATTGATGTGAGAGGGACACATCCAGTGGCTGCCTCCCGCACGACCCCAACCTCAGCCAGGGATGAACTGCAACGGAGATACGTGCCCTTAGCTGGAATCGAACCTGCGACTCTGGTCCACAGGCTGATGCTCTTCTGCTGAGCCAAACAGGCTAGGGCAAGCTAGGAGTTTTGTTTGTTTGTTTGTTTGTTTGTTTTATGATAAACCTTGTTTTATTTTTATTTTTTTATTATTAATTAATTAATTTATTTTTGTTACAGATGTTTCTCCTTTTTCCCCCACTGATTCCCCCTTCCCCGCCCTCCCCGCCCTGACCCCAGCTTTGTGGTCCATGTCCACTGTTCATGCATTCATGCATACAAGTTCTGTGGTTTATCTCTTCCCCACCACCGCCTCTTCTGGGGACTGTCAGTCTGTACCCCACCTCCACGTCTCTGGGACTACCCCATTCTTCAGACTGTTATGTTCATTATATTCCACAAATAAGTGAGATCATGTGATACTTGTCTTTCTCTGCTTGGCTTGTTTCGCTTAGGATAATACTTTCCAGGTCCCTCCATGTTGTCTCAAAGGATAAGGGATCTTTCTTTCTTACAAGCTAGGAGTTCTTAAAGCTACAGCTCAGGTAGGCTTCAGGGGGTCCCCACAACCTCAGAAACTGCAGGACAGACAGATCCCCCGCAGAGCCACAGAGAGAATGTGTGCTGAGGAGAGAGTTCCAGAAAGAGAGAGACGGGAGTGGCAGAGCGAAAAGCACAGAGATGCATGAACTTTTGGGGAGGTTCTCAAACGCTCGTACCTAAAACAGGTGAAGAGCTAGGCCCGGAACTTCGTAGGCTGCACCAGGCAGGAAGCCAGGGTTGCCCATGTCCCAAAATAGTTGGGGACAAGCCCATCCCCTCCCCACACTCAGACCTCCCCGATGGGATTTCCTGGCCGCCTTCCTTCCCACCTCATTTCCAGATGTTCCGCTGTGCTGAATCTCTTCCATGGATGGCAGCTTCTCTGAGACACTGCCCAGGAGCAGGTGACAGCCTGCCCGGCAGGGAAACCTGGACTGGGGCTCCTCACACACTCAACATGGGCTTGCTCAGGAGGTGGCTGTCTTGTCTCTTTTCTCTTTTGCTTTCGGTGATGGGTTCTGCCCAGGGGGTCTCATGATCACAGGCTGATTGTGGAGCTCTGAGTCCCACACGGTCAGCTTCACAGGTCAGCTTCAATTGCCAGTGCCCTTTGCCTAACGGGTGCACACCGGATGCTGAAAGTGACAGACCACGCTGTGGGCATTCTTTTGTCATTACATAGGTCTGCAAAGAAAAAATGCTATTGTGTTATATATGAGCTTGGAATTTAAAGTCCGTGAAACACCGTATAACTTCTAGGTGGATTCGAGCCTTTAATTGCTCTTTTTGC